TATTGTCTCATTTTCGGCATGGTTAATGCCGTGAATTATCATGGAAGGGAGGACAAAATATGGTTCCTCTCCAGTTCTTTTAACTAGCGTCTCTACAGGAGAAGAAAAAGGGAAAGAGATTGAGGGATTTCCTTGTGTATCACCTCTGGACGATGGTAGGTCCTAAGATCTCTTTTGCTCATATTATCGCAGTAGTCGATCGATCGGTTTATTATGATTGAACGCTTGTCTCTAAAGAGCTAATTTTGCCTTTCAATTAAAACTTGGAGATAGTTTTCGTCTAAGAATAGTCATCGCAGTGTACAGGCTACACTACGAGCGAACGGAGGGGGTAAAAATCTTGAGTTCGATCACATCGCGATCAGTCTCCACATATCAGATCTTTGGCATATTATTCATGTCGATTCACAGCACCTGAAAGGAAAACTTTGTATAAAACTGAACCCTTGTGTTTGTAAGAGAATGGCTGCACTGAAAAAATTACCTTCGGCGCAATAAAAACATAGATAAGGTGGTGGTTATTATTTCTTCTAGATCGCACTCTTCCATTTTCAGCATTATTGTTGATGTTCTTTTGCCCGCCATAAATCACTGGTAATTTCTTGTTAAACAAACATGTTTTTTTTAACTTTCATTGTTTATGCTCACTTTCTATTTGAGTAAAAATTTCGAACTCACGATTTATTGTTAAACAAAGTTTATTTTGAATTCGTAACAGTAAAACTTTTTTTAATAGCGAATTTGTAATGTGTAAAATTATTTAGCCCCTGATAGGAGCTTATCCTCAAGCAAGTGCTCTTAAAAAGTTTTTTTTCCCTGTAAAAACAATCCTTGGAAATTTTAGGAATGTAATTTATCAACTTTCATCTACTTTCTTTAAAAGTCTCTCTCATCTAAAAACCAGCAGTTAATATATATTTTATTTTCGCCTTTTTAAAGTTGAATTTTAAGTGTAAAGTCAATTTTTTGACAATTACAATGTAATTTTTGTTTACATGATTATTGGCTGGTTAAAAGTATTATCTTCTGGTTTGAAGCAATTTTTTTAAATTTCTCAGTCTACAAAAAAAGTTGCATTTTTGTAGCTCAAAACATATTTAACATTATTGAAAAAAAAAAAAAGGTTCAGGGGTATGGTTGTCAGTGCTATCGCTTTATAAATTATGGAAAAAAAAATTAAATGGCTTTAGTCTGAAATCCACTTCGTGTACCAAGGACATTTCATTTGTTCAACTGATATATTTTTTCTCACAACATTTTCATGTAAAGAAAATTTACTTGTATGTGGTTCATGTTTTTTTACTAAAATGCATATAACAGCTGATTGTGGGTTAAACTTCAGCTGTCATTTACATGTAAGCTGAAAACATGTGTTTTGCAAATGTTCAACTTCTCACAGAGATTTCCTGAATTTATTATGAACTGATTTTCCTTATATCTACCTGATTGCAGACTTCTCATTGAAGATTGGTTGTGTTTTAGAACAACATATGTTACATAAATAAATAAATTATGAGCAATCATGGCAAATTTGAGTCTATTTTATTTACTTGATTCCCTTTGCAATAATTATTGTATTGCCACTTGCAAATTGTTAGTTGAAAACTGCAAGACATTATTTTATGACTATCACAGAAAATGGATTATTCAAGAAGAGCAAAGTACCAACCATAAATGAACATACAAAGTTTAGTTGTGTACATTTGTGCATCTTTTACCTTGAAAAATAATAATTATTTTATCTAAGATGCACTACAATATGTACCAAATACCTGAGTGTTACATGGAAAATTTGCTCTGACTCAGAAGTCAAGACTAAACTTATACCCTTTGTATTCATATTCGTTTTGAAAGCTTGGTAAATTTCCTTAACAATCAAGGAGATGATTACAATCTTAGCAGCATGAAATAAAAGGTTGTGTCTGTTAGTCCGTGGATGGCAGATTTTGCAGTTGGGCTAGTGATTTCTGTTCTTTTAATCGCCAATCTGTAAAACTGACTTTCTTAGATAGTGCGAAGTCCTACGCAAACCAGGGCACTTGAAGGAAAATTATCTGATCACAACATTTTGTTGAAAACAAAAGATTCCCAAGTTTTGTGCAAACAGACTAATAACATTCATAAATTTGAGGGCTGTTTCCTGAGAGATCAGGTAAGTTTGCACCACTGTAAAGTTTTTAACGGTTGCATAAGTTGAACCTTGAATTTTATTTGTCCATTTGCAAAAAAACTTGATTTCAAAAAGCGTTGTGACTGAATAATCTTCCAAGTGCACTGATTTGAGTAGTCGCAATGTAAGGCAGACAATATCATGTCCAAGTTAGAGTTCTTTTAATGGTCAGCAACTATTGCTGCTATTTTTGCTATCAAGCAGAATGGATGTAGTTTAAATTAGCTGGTTCCAAAGTGAATGTACCAACCCTTTAATTTACTGTTTGGCTTCAGTCTTCCACAGGGCGATTTAGTATTATAACTTGCGGGGGCCTTTGGTCACACCGCAGTAGCCACAACAGCTATGTATTTGTGATCTGTTTTTACTAAATTTTAATAATATAATATCTTTAAAATTATTGAGAAATCGATGCGTGCATTAGTTTCTGCCTCCCAAGTCTACTGACTAGACATACATGTACAAAGTAGTTTTTCAGGTTATAAAGAAACAAAGTTACCGGTATGGAATGGGCAATTTTTCTGTTGGTATTGTGTTGTTTAATATTCACTGTGTAAATTTTTTCTTCATATTTCTCAGATTATCTCCTTCATAAAGAAAAACAGATTCCCGCTCAATTGTTGGACAGATGGCGGAAAGCAGCTCTAGCTGTTTCTTATGCTTCTGTTTTTACTACTTTTGTTATAGGTGTCAGTGCATTTGGTAAGCAGACTGATGCAAAAACTGTTGTTATTATATAGTGCAGGGGTTAGGGCGGGGGAGTTTCCTGAAAAAACAAAAGGCTGATATTACTAGTAACAGAGTCATAATTGGAATTTTTAATATTTTATTCTGTAATAATTATACACGAACAGATTTCTGCAAAGTCTAGGTGGCTGGGACTCACTATGAATGTTAAAGCATTTCCCATGATGAGTAGTACTTAGGAACAAATAGGAAGTTACAATCATATTTTAATATTATGATAATTTATAATAAAATTTTAACATAATATTGTTTTTCTTTCTATAGTCATTTCCAGTTTGGCCAAAAGCTCTGCAGCATTTGGCTTTGCAGTAAGTCCACATGCTATTTATTCAATAATCATAACTATAACAAAATTCTCAAATCTGATTGATTATCAACTGCCCTGATTTCAGCCTTAATTGGACAATTTAATAGGACAGTACGCGTCATGCCTAAGTAATTGGACAGTACCCGCCATCACGCGCGTGCTTGAATGGCTTTTTTTTCACTACTAGCAAAAAAAATTGGAATTTCTTCTCTTTTGATTTCATAAAAGGGCCTTATATATCACAAATTTTGTTAAAGTAATGATTAATTGATAACAGAACTTCATGTCGTCTAATTCAGTCTGTAATCATACTCGTGATTAAACAAATCGGACTCCCGCTACGCGGTCGTCCAATTTTGTTAATCACTCGTATGATTACAGACCGAATTGGACTCCACTCAGTCCTGTTACCATTACTAATAATGATTAATAATAATATGATATCATTGATGATGATGATGATAATGCTCATCTAATGATGATGGTGATAATAATGATATTAATGGTAATAATAATAATAATAATAATAATAATGACTTTGTTCAGGGTATCCACTGTATGGCTCTTCACCTGAACTTGTACACTAAAGTTTCACAATAATTCA